GGCCCCGGCCCTGCGCCCTGGGGGCTGGGGCCGGTACCTGGGCTCGCGCCCGGCGCTTGTTTCCCCGGCGGGGCCCAGAGCCGCCTTCTTCCGGCACGGGTTTGATGCCGGAGCAGTGGCGAGAGACTTGGGCAGCGGCCCTGTTGCCCCTGGCGCGGGGAAGGAGCCCCCCGGGGTAGGAAGTATCTGTCCAGGGCAAAGCGCCTTCAGCCCTGGTGACAGCCAGCACTATTCTCATCTCCACCCTGGCTTAGGGCACCAGCAAGCCCCCTTCTCACTGCACCATGTGCCTGGGCCCCCCACCCTGCCCTACCACACCGCACCCAATTCACCCTGACTCCCCGGCTGCGAGCTCCCTCTCGGGTGTGCCACGTGGGCACCCCGTGGGCTCCCCTGGCATGGCAGCACTCATGGTGCTGCACCAACCCTTTCCCTGGAGCAAAGGCCAGAGGGGGAGCCTGCCCCCCCCCCCAAGCAGGGGGTGGTCTGCAACTGGGTAGGAGTCCCAGGACTATGCTTTAATCACAAGCACCCTGGAAGTGGACAGCCCTGGCCCAGCCCATCACTAGGCCATGTTCTTTCGCTGGCTTGTGTCTGCCTGGTGCTGGCTTCAGTACAGTCGGTTTGACGGTGTCTAATCCTCTCTCTCTAGAATGTCTCTGCTACAAACCCAGTTCCTGCCAAGAGCAAGAATAAAAGGGAAAAGAAAAAGGAAAATGAAGTTATGAATGGACTTAGAGGTGAGGTAAGCAGCTGTTTTATATGGTCTCAAAGGAAAGTTATTACTGGTAAGTCTTGACTTGGTTCATGGATGGTACTTCTTTGTTGCACAATGTGTACAACACAATATAACTGGCAGGTTTCCTTTACTCTTGTTAGATGTCTAGTTGCAGGAGAATGTTTGCTGTTACAAGGAGATGTTTTAGCAAGTGAGGGTCTGATCACACAGGACTAGCTGCAACACACACAGGTAAGCATGTGTGTGTGGCAAGACGATTTGAGCACTGAGGTGAAATACCTTGGTCCCCATTGTTAATTCTTGAAGGTATTGAGGGCAGGTGCTGCTAGGTGAGAAATTGTAGAAAGGAAGATGTAAGTGACTGGTGAGGTGTGCCATCCATAACAGTAATGCATTTTAAAATGTTTTAATATCCATCTTTATAACATATTTGAAAAAAACTTGAAAAAGGTCATGATAGTTATTAATAGCTAATCTTTTGATTAGAATATCAGCAATGATAGTATAATAAATTGTATTATTTATTTAGAGGCTCTACCCAAGATGAGAGCTTCATGGCACTACGTAGTCTTCCTTACTTTGTTTTCTTCTAAAAAACAGATGTATGTACGTTTATGATTTTTACAGCTGTGCTATGAGCCAGACTTCATAGAAGACAGGATGAAGATTTATGAAACACTGAAAAAAGAACATGATGCCTTGCTTTCCTACAGAGCAGCCAATGAGAACAGACCCATCAAAATAATTCTTACTGATGGGAATGTGGTTGAAGGGGAATCTTGGAAAACCACACCTTATCAAATAGGTGCAGGAATTAGGTAAACTGCAAGTTTAAACATGCTTACTTATGAAAGTACTAGCCAATTGCTAGTCAAGAATGAGTGGGGGTGGGCAGAGGCCTGTGTTCAGCCCCCTCCCTCTCCCCACCACTTTGGGTCCAGGTCTGTTCCTCCCCTCCCCTGCTTTGGATCTGCCTGGCCCGCATCCACCTGCCTCCCCTTGCAGCTGTTGGCAGGGCCCAGCTGTGGCAGGGCACCGTCACCGTGCCCTCCCTCCCCTCCCTCTTCTCCCTC